TGCTAGAACACTCTAGGAATCACAACGATAAACCCTGCTGAAATGGGATTGCCCAGTTAAGGAGTCCATGGGATACAGTGTGCTCTGGTGGATACACTTAAAGCCCAGATTTCTTTGTCACTGTACAACATATCTGTGTAACCAAAAGCTACTTGTATAGTCTTAAGTGATAGAAATAAAAATAAAGCAAAAAATTGAAAAATAAACTCAACAAGAGGAAAACCTGGGTTGGGACATGAGTTCTACTTCCTGTTAGCGTGTGCCCTGCTGGGTAGGATGTAATCTCCCTACCTCAGGCCCTGGGCACACTGCCCTATCCTGAGCATGCCCTTTGCCTTCTCAAGTTGTCGTTAATCTTCTACAAAACATGTCTTCCACAATATGCCACATTTGGAGGTGTATGCAGATTGTCACAGAGCAGTGATTCTCAAACTTGACTGCACTTTGTAATCACTTGGGTTAAAGAAAAAAGAAAAAGCTGGTGCTTAGGTCCTCACTCTGGGATTCTGATTTAATTGGTCTTGCTACCTTGGCCTTGGGCTTTTAGACTAATATGAAATGATGGTAATGAACCCAGTTGAAGAACTACAGTTATAGAAGTTAAAAATCTCCCCCATCAAGTGGAAGACACAAGACTGTCTATTTGTGGATAAGAAATCCAAAGGACTCTACTAAAAAAAAGTGTTAGCAACCGACTAAAAAAAATTCCACGGGGTTGCAGGATATAAGATGAATGTACAAAAACTTCCCCTCACATACCTGAGTGGCTTGGTATGTGTCCTACCAGGGAATTATGTGGATATAGACCTGGCATGTACATGGTGGTCTTTACCTTTTGTTTTCTGTGTTGTGGTGCTTTTTCCATGTCAGTACATGAGACCTTCTTCCTTTAACACTGTTATGTCCATGGATTCCACAGTATATTTAGTCCGTGATTCCCCCAAAAGGTTAACCCCCAGTTTTGATTCAAATGCCCCAGTGGACATTTTTTTTTTTTTTTTTTTTTGAGCTGGAGTCTCACTCTGTCATCCAGACTGGAG